CCAAACACACCCTTTATGGTATTTTAATTAATTAATTATCGTTATAATTAAAATCAATTAATATATAATAATATATTAATATTTAATTAATAATAATAATTCATTTAAATATATACAGAGATATATTTAAATATAATCTCACTAATTTAATTAATATTAAAATTAAATACAGGCAACAACCTTAGCAAATTTAATTGCACTGTGAAATTACCAAAATACCATTTTGTCCTAAAAGATGAAAATACCCTTCTCACAAATTGATTCTTAAATTATCTTCTAAGTGTGTGACCCGTAGGCTTCTTATCATATTGGTAGTGAGTAGTATCGCGATTAACACAAATTGATCGTCTCACTACACAAATACCAAGATTGGCCCCTAGCAAGGCATCATGGCCACTCGATAGATTTGGATTCAGTGAAACCGCAGCCTGTCAACGATTTGGTTACCGTGCAATCAAATCCTTTCATTAACTGTTATCTCATCAAGACTGAGGTATAAAAATAGTGTCAACCTCAGATATCCTCGACATGTTTGTATTCAGTTACCAGACCAATGACAGGAATATTAAATTGGATTGAGCATCAACTCAATCCCACTGTGGTCATAGATTTAGTATCATTGCCATTTACTGAATTACCCAGTGAGATAACTTCTCCCGCACCCAGGAGTGATGAATCCTTTGTCGATCCACCATAGTCTCGATACACTTCTCAATGTAGCCAATCACTGTCGTATTGATAGCTCTGAATAGAACTACGTTGGGCTAGTGTCAAACTACACCAATTGGTGCACAAGGCGCTCCAGTGATCTCAAGTCTAAGGATTACATGCACCACCATCCGTTAGAGGATTTATTCCATAGACAATAGGGTTACCATCCATGTGAAATCCTCTAGTGGGTCTGTCTAGTGAACTTGCCTTTAGCAAGCACCTATGTGTTGCACCAGGTTGTCAGCAAACAACATTGACAAGTGAGATCAGTCACTGCCTTTCAACAGGGTCGTTCAACACTAGGATAGCCTTACGGTATTATCTATGTCCTTGGTCAGAATAACACTGGGGCTACGGACGTTTCTAGAATGACCACCATATGTGATCATAGGGTTCTCACTATCAAGATTTGAAACACTTGATACCTCGTCACGGTTCTACCATCCTAAGGACATATATCATTACATACACGATATAGAAGAATATGTCTTTTATTGATAAATAAACATTTATTACAGAGTCAATTTTACAATAATTGATTGGCTCTAGGGCACCTACTCTAACATTCTTAACATGTACTGAGCCCTCGTGCATCATGTGCCAGTGTACCAGAAGTGATGAAGGCTTTCTGAGGTGGTACAAGTATGAGGAAGGCCTATGGAAAATGGATGAGACGAAGTCTCTTGCTCTTTGATTAGAACAGTGTAGAGACTATAATTTATTGGTCAGAAACTACAGCGTATGTACTTCTTCTTTACATGTTGTTTTGTTTGTATATAATATCTACATAATATGTTCTTGAATAGGCATATATAGAATTGGACCGTTGGGTTTTAGGTTGTCATTCTCCTAATGCTTTTGTCTTAGTTCGTCAACATTGTAATACTTGTGTGACGATCTTCTCCCATTAGAAAAGCATCATCTATTTGCATGATTTTGTACATATGGTCAAATTTCACCTCCTGTTGCTTTAAGTTGATCTTCTGTTGTTGATCAATACACAATCAATTGTTTTATCTATCATTTACGTTGTTAGAATTAAATTACAAGGATTTCTCTATTTTTAATTTATTATATTTATATATCTACATTTTTTCCACCTTGAATTGGAAATACTTTTCCGATTCATGTTATTTTATGTAGGAAATTGTTATTGCTTATGTTATTGAATTTGAAATTCTATTGGCTTTGTAAACATTAGTGTCAAATTCATTTGTATTGTGAGATTAAGTATTTGATAGTGAGATTTTGAAGGAATATTTGAGTTTCCTTCCTTTATAGTTTTGTATTAAGTCACACTAATATTGCTTGGCTAAAATGGTAATATTATAGTTTTATAGTACGCTGTCGTTTTGGCTTTTTAAAATTTATAAGTAATGAAAAATGTTGTTATTTAAAATGCTATTGATATTTAATTACTTGAAGTAAATTTTGGGATTTAAGTTTTTCTCTGTCAGTTTTAGCATTAAGAGCATTTGTCCCAGTTTGTTTGTCGCATTTTCCACATCCGTCTTTTATCATTGACTGAAATTAAGATAAGTAAGTACATTTTCTTTAGTTACAGTGACAATGTCGTTTTTTATTTTACATTGGTCTAATTAATTTGTCATTGATTTTAACTTTGATTAAAGTGCATGTTATTCTTACATAGCTCCGAGATTTGTTATTATTGTTATAAGAAGTTGTTCTTAGATAGTTTGCTGATAATTTATTGTATTCGTGTTGTTTATTTGTTTCTTTGGCAGTTATGTTGCAAATTATTTTGTTGGTCTTTTTATTATTGAAATTGGTGTGTTTTTTATTACAATTTTGTTTGTTCTGCTCGGGTTGATCTGTTGTTCTGGTAGTCATGTTGCAGATTATCTCGTCAGTAAATCTACTACTAAAGTTAGTGTTTTTCTCATTACGATTTTGTTTATTATCTTACTGTGTTTAGTATATATTGTAATACTGTCATTGTTTTATGAATCCATGTTATGAAATGCCAGTTGTATATTTTCTTGTTGTGTTTAGTATATATTGTAATACTATCGTTTGTTTTTATTGTAGTAATGGCTCCAAGAAACTTGATGAAATTGATTCGAAGACTTGATTCTGGAGTACTGTATAAAGCAAGATCAAGTAGTGATTTCAAGTCAGAATCGTCAACACCTGTATAGACTTCTGTTTTACCTGCATCAGTCTCCAATCCTATGAAACCTGATTTTGGTTCTTGCCATGTTAAACTGACTAAAGAAGAAGATAATCAGTCAGAAGAAATTTCATTACGTTAATTGGTGAAACATCAGAAAACTTGTCAGCAACAGGGTCCAAATACGAATTCTGAATAAAAATGGAAAAATCTTTGTAAAGAAGATCTGGACAGCAAAACTTTCAGTCTAGGGAAAGAGGTAATGTTTTCTCACTGCATCATGTGAATATATACATATGGCATGATAATGTTAAGGTGGTTTCATTGTTTTTGAAATAGGCTTATGAAGGTTTCTAGAAGTTAGAAAACGTTGGCTTGTTTCAGAAGATGTGGTCACAGATTTGACAAAACAAAATGAAGATACGATTGTCGAGGTTAGCAGATTGAAAGAACAATTGAAAATATCAAAGGATGCATTTGAAAAGGTCAAAACCGAATTGGAACACTATCAAGAATCATTTAAAAATGTTGAAGAGTCTTTTGCAAATGAGCGGCAACAAAAGGAAGTCTTTAAAAAGTAAAGTTATGAATTGTCTGAAGAAAATAATAAGATTAAATCTTTAATTGCACAAGTTGAAAAAGATAAGGAAAAGGTTTATGATTCGGTGTCAGAAATGTTTTTGGCCACCAGAAAAGCTTGTGTCAAAGAATTTAAGCACAGATTTCCAAATGAAGATTCTAGTTTTTTAGAGACAATTGTGTTGAAAAATGAGGAGAAGTCATCTAATTTTGATTATATTGATTGCAATGTTGTTGTACCTTTCTCTGGTCCACTTAATGGCACTTCTGTAAATATTTAAACCGTTTGTTAAGCATTTTCACAATATTTTGTCAAAATTTGGCTCACAAGTGTTTATTATCATGGACGTGGATGTATTCAGTTGATGCTAATTTTTGTGTATGTGAAACAAATTCTCCAGTTTATGTAATGTTATTTCTGTAAATATTTAAACTGTTTAATTGTTGTAATATTAATGTTAAATATCTTGATGATGCCTGTCACGCGATAGTTTATAGATCAGTTGCGTGTGTAAAAAATATGTATTTATAACAGATAATACATTCACTATATTATTCATCGTTTCTGACAATAATAATATAAAACATATAAATATCTTTGTATCAAGTAAATTATGTTACTGTATTTATTTAAACATTTAATGTGACCTTTTCATATTCATATAAATATGTTTACTTTTTCACATCAATCTCTCATAAACAATGTCTTATATTATATACGATGTATCAATCCTTTCTATTATAAACAATAATTCATATAATATAGAACATATTAATCCCTACAATTAAAGACGTCTTTGAAAACAATATTTGTCAATGTCTCCGTCGATTAATCTTCTTGCAGGGCTAGTAGAATCTTGATACCTTGTCTTGAAGTTACTCTTGATAGTGCCACGTACAATTGACCATGTTGTAAAGACTTGATGGTTCATATACAATCCTGCTGTTTTGAGTGATTGACCCTGGCTTTTGTTTATTATCATACAAAAGCTAACTGTCACAAGTAACTGTCTTCTCTTCAACCTGAAAGGCCACTTCATATCTGCATTTGACATTATTATTCTGGGAATTGTGACAATATCCCCAATGTTTAACCCAGTGATAATCATTGCTTGTATGGACCACTTTCCTAAATAGGTTATGATCAATCTGGTTCCATTGCAAAGACTATCAGATTGATTCAAATTAGATAGCAACATAATTGGAATGCCAATTTTCAGATGCAATTCATGTTTGTGCATGCCGAAGCACATCAGAGAATTAAGAAATTTTGTGGGATAGAGAATGTCATCATTGTTTGAGATACCTACTTCTTTGCAAGTGATGTCCGAGCTGAAATACGTTTTTCCATCGTTGGCAGACTCTGGATGATATGGTAGTTCAATCTATGTACTGTCTCATTTTTTGGTGTCAATATTGCTCTCTCTCTCTCTCTCTCTCTCTCTCTCTCTCTCTCTCTCTCTCTCACACACACACACACACACACACACATATATAATCAACAATATTTATTTGAGCAGATAAATCTAGAAAACAGCATTCATAATCATTTCTTCATGACTAATATGTTGATTGATTTTCAAGTCTTCAGGTATTTGGATGTAACTTTCATCTTCTGCAACGTCCCGTCCTTTCCAATATTAGGTAACCATTTGTCAAAACCCTTCAAGTTATCCAATTCTGTTGGGTTCACCAAGTTTGTCTTCAACCTTATGTTCTCTGTAAGTGTCAACACTGTTACATGTTTCCAAAAGGAAGATGACGATAAACAGGCATGTCTTATGTCATGTTTTTTCCCTTTTGGTATAACTAGTAGAATCTATCTAAAATCACCACCCAGGGCAATGGTGAGGCCTCTAAATATTCTATTTGCATTTGATTGATCTTTTTTAGACAAAATATCTTTCAGAGTTCTATTAAGAGCTTCAATACCTGTTTGCCATAGGTGTTTCATCCCAAATGATCAAAGTTGTTTGTGCAAGTAGTTTTGCCAATTGTGTCTCCTTTTTTATATCACCTGTACTTTCTTCAGTGACATCTAAAGGAATTCAAAAACATGAATGTGCTCTTTTTCCACCGAATAACAGCAATGCAACAATTCCTGATGTAGCTACAGCTAGTACAATTTTACCCTCAGATCTTAATTTGGCCATGATTGTATACCATAGGAAGGTTTTGCCTATTCCACCATGTCCATAAATAAAAAATGGTGTTCCACTTTGATTGTTCACGGAATCAAGGATCGAATCGTATACATGTCTCTAGCCATTGTTGAGACCTTTGTATAAATCACTGTGCACTGTTTTCATGTTGTCGATATCATAATCTAATTCTTTAGCAATTAATCTATTCTGTGAATTCTCAAAAATGAAACAGTCTGGAATTCGCATTCCAAGGAAATCAGCGAAGGATTTTCCTCCTTTTTTCATGAGCTCGTCAATCTCGAACTATGCATGATCGTGAATCTGTTCCTCAGTGCATCTCAATTCTGTCATCCGCATTTTTTGTTTAAGAATGTGGGGAATGTCTTCAGATAGGTGTTCTACATTTGCTCTCCACAAGTCTCTTGGACTCACCACTTCATTATATACAAGAATAGTTACAAAGAGCTATATTAACTATCTTCCGGTAGCCCACGTTGATGTTTCATCCAAGCAATCATTCCACTCTTTATCATCATCGAGCAATCCTATGCATAACATGCATCTTTGAATGTAGGGAATATTTCTCTGTTGATAGTTCGAATATCTTCAAATGACATTGCTCCTCTTACAAAGTTCAGAAGCATTCGCAAATAATATTTCTCACCACTACCTGGAAATGCAAAATACACCCTACCAATACACCTTGATTTTTGTCGTGGGGACCATTGTCTTTTTGTATCCTTCCAAACCCATTCGCTCGAAAAATTAGGATAAGTCAATGATCTTGCAGAATGGTATCGTTGATTACACTTCATCCATTCAGTCAATTTCGTTTGCGTAACAACCTTGATTTCCAAAATTTGAACCAAACACTTACTTGGATCGAAAATAACTATTTGTTCATTCTCTAAGTGGAATGGCAATCTTTCAACAATTGGTTCTCTGTAATACATGTCAATCTTAAATATCCTCCAGCAAGCTTCCATAGAAGAGATATATCTGTAATGTTTTTGATTGAATTACTTAATATCGTATTTATAACAAATATCAAAAAACAATATAAAAACATTATATTTGATGTATTTTGTACATACCTGTAGTCCAGATATGCCTTTATTTCGTCTTTGTCTTGTAAAATCTCGCATTGATTGTTCTGTTGACCATTGTTTTCAATTTCCATAGAAACTCTCTTTCTGTCCAGCCTTTTGTTGACATACTTGAATAGATACTTGATTGATCTATGTTGATTACATATCTCAATATTTATGTGAGCATCATACTTAACCAAAATATTCCTATTATAAGAAACAACAAAACGGTTATCTAGTTTGATACCCTTTTTTCTCAACAAATGCTCCATTATTTCGTCTTCTATACATTGGGTATCCGTTGTCATCCACAGATGTTTCATTGACAAATTCCTTCAAAAAAATGTTTTTTACATCTTCCTCTCTCCATACATGGTGAATTCTTGTTAACATCACCGCACAGACCGTGGATCATGTATTCTCCACAACTGCAAAGGCAACATCATCGGTTTCCTTATTTGGAATTTCAGCAGAAACTATTTCATCTATTTTGGATGCCAAAGGATTCATATATTGGGAATGTAGAAAAACCAATATATGAGCATGTGGGAGGCCTTTCTTTTGGAACTCGATAGTGTAGATAACTGACAGAAATAATTATAACGTGTTCAGCAATAGTTGGTATAACATAATTTCATATCATAAATTATCAATGAACTACAATTTGTAAAAAAAAAAGTAGAAATATTATTCGTTGGAATACTTACTTGCCGCTGTTTCACCAAAATATTCACATTTTTTTATCTCTCGCATTAGCTCAAGCAATTTGATCTCAAAAACTTTGCAAACTGCAGTTATTCTACTTTCTTGATCACATTGTCCAATACAATTCTATAGATATTGTATCTCTAGCCACTTCGGATTACAGGTGAATGTCAGAAAAATATATGGATATCCATAACATCAGCAAATCGTCATTGCATCTTGATAATTCTAAACACAATATCGGGGACTGCCAGTGTGAGACGAAGGGAGCAACGTAGATTTCCCTAGATGTTGTGCATTAACATCATCCTTTGAAATGGCACCCATCAACCCACTGTACAAATCACTCCTCAATTTTTTTTTATTTTTTCTAATCCAACAAAATCTTTCCTCTTCAACAGCCATATATGCATCCACAATATATTGCTATAATAATCTACCTGATTTCAATGGAGTATGCCCTTCACATTATCTATACTGCAATCAAAATGCATAATATTCTCTCATGCTTAGCCTGTTTCTCTTTGAAGACTTTTTGTTAGGAAAGTCTTTATGGTTATGTCAATCTTTTATCCATCTTCTCCATACAGAAATAATATTGGATAACTTAATCCCATAAAGCTTGGATGCAAGTCAGAAATCCTTTGAAGACCCTTTTTCGAATGATGAACAATGACATCTTTTCCAGTTTCTGAAATTCCAATATCACCGACAATCAAACCTGCAATTTCAGATGTAGTTGGCAAATTGTATTGTCTTCCATCCTTTTCCCTTTTTCATTTTTAACCACAAATGCACATCTCTAATATCATTCCAATGGATATGGTTCCTGACAGAACAAAAACTTTTAACCAATTCATTGTTCGCATCAAAAATCAATTGCAATTCCTATACTAATTCCCTGTCAACAGTAGCATCGGCTGTATTACCTCATACATAATTCAATCTATGACTGGTTTCATACTCTATGTCATAAATATAAAGCTGCGCAAACTCAGGTTTCCTTCCTTCAAGTGGAAGTAACGATCTTATTCGGTGGTAATTCTGTCCGCAGAGTTTGAAAACATATGGACTACCCCCTTGGTTAATCTCATGGTCAACATGCCATCCCATTGGTGTAAATGAGAAAAATGAATTGTATATTCTTATTTTACTCTTGAAACTAATCCCTTTGTTACCATTGGACACATCCAATAAACCTTTTAATGGTTCCGGCGGTTCTTTCAATAACGATAACTGAACTTTGCCATCCATACAACATAAAACAAAGGGATGGCTGGCTTTTGGTTCTTAATAGTTCCCTCTTCATACCACATGACTAATCCACAATGAATGCACTTGTAGGATGGTTCACCAAAGTTCCAGGACTCTTTTTCCATTGTGCAAAGAAATAACATTTTATTTTTAGAAAGTAATTGATGTGTTCTGTTAATTTAGAAACTCAGAATGACATTTTTTTTTTTTTTTTACTAAGTTTAATACTTGAGTCCACATTTAAATATGTATAACTAACAATGTGACACTTGTTACCTCTTTCTGTCGAGTGAGATTTTGAATCTCTATTTGTCTTCGATAAAGATTTCTTTTGTTTTTTCAATGTCTGTTAGAGTCATGAAAGTGACTCTATTTTGGTGATAAAAATACTCTATGTGCGATTAAAATGAAATCATATTGAGGCAATTAAGAAATTTATGAATTTATTCATGAAAAATCGCATCCTAATGTTTTCCTATGAATTTAACATATTTGGAATGAATTTGGAAATGGTGTGAGTTGATATTAGGTTGTGGTTTATGGATTAGGGGTGATTTTGTCTCATTTATACTGTTCAAGGGGTAAAATGTCATGTTTCAAGAGATTGATTTTGTCATTTTTCAATCATGTAGGGACCAAATGGAAATTTACCACATTTTGTATAAAAATAAACGAAAGGTTGCAAACCAGGTAGCCGCCAAGGACCTTCACCCATCATCGGAGTTTGGTCGCCGGCCGACGACCTTTCATCTTCCAGGCCAGCAACCCTTCGCCTTCTCACGCAGACCAGTCACTCTCCACCGTCATTCACCCACGCCGACGACATACCACCGTTTCCACGTCGTGACTCTTCACCTTCCACCAAAGTTTGCACTATTTTCTGGTGCCAATTAAGCTCCTTTTGTGCTGGCCATCACCCCATGAATTTCCCCTTACATTTCCACCGCCGATCTCCCTTTTTCTAGCGAGATCCATCACCTTGATCCGACGACTCTTCGATTTCCCAACATGATTTTGTTCACTTTCTGGTGACCTTTCATCTCCCTAGGACCTAATCCGAACTCCCCCTCACCTAAGCTTTCCATCGATACCTTTGGATCCCATTTCCGCTACCATTTGCCAGAAGACCCAACGAAAAACTAACGTTTCCTGGCGAGTGCGACTGTTCGTATTATGGGCTGTCTGTTGGTCCTTTTCACTCCTTCTTTGCATCATCTCATTGTCGGTTACTTCTTTTTCAACATGACCAGCTTCGTTTCTACCGTTCCAGCCTTCGTCAACACCACCATGAGCGGCTGAGCTCCTAGTTGCCTGTTACGGTGTAAGGAGATCAGGATCGACACTCATGGATCTTCTCAACTAGTTGGATGAGCCCGAATGTTGGATATTTGGTTAAGTTTCTTGTATTCAAATTATATTTGTTTTCGTTTCAGTTTGTTTGTGATGCTTTAATATTATTCTGATGCTTGACGTGCTAAATTGATAATGTCCATTGAGAACGTTTGTTGACATATAACTTTTCGCATAATTGAATGTCGGTTTGAGATTATTGAATGTTGATTATGACTTTAAATTGCTTCGGTGCTAATTGCAATCAAGTTGTATTAGCCTTTAATATCATTTCTACTAGGAATGCATTTGTTTTGTAATTAGTTGATTGGATGATACAAGTTGATAGGTTGTACTTGTTAACGTTGTACCAACTAGTGGTGTTTAAGGGTTTAGCATTTTTCGGTTAGTCAATGATAGTCTTTAACCAATCGATCTTTAACTAAGACGACGGGGAGACAGGATAGATTATACCTAGATTGCCAGGAGATGTTTTTATTGATTTGCCTAGCCTTGTAGGTTTAGGAAATTGAAGAGTGAGAAGAGGAATTGTGAGAGTTGGTCTTGAGTCAAACCGAATCCGTAGCGGCAACACTTTTAATATTGTGTTTTAGTTAGCAATTTATTTGATGCTTTTAATTTCCTCCAATTAATTAGTTTCCTTAGTTTTAATCAATCAATTTGTCAATTTCTCTTTTGTTAACTCAAATATACATTAGGTCATTCGTCTTGCTCTCTTGGATTCGACCCTGCTTACCGCTAACTATGGTATTTAGGTTTAATTTTGTGGCCATGACGACTGGTTCGACAAAATTTTGGCGCCGTTGCCGCGGAGCAACATGCTTTTGACTTTTTGTGTGTTTGGGTTTGTAAATACTTTAAGTTTAATTTTTTTTTTTTTTTTTTTTGTTTTTTGTGTCATTTAATTTTCATTAGGACAATTTAATTTGCGTTTGTTTTTATTTTGCAAGAAGATCGCAATTGGGGAAACGCTGTAATGTGTCATGTGCATCAAAGTTTAAGCGTGACCGATTGTGATATTCGCTAATCTTTTTAGCTTTAGTTCTTTTTAGTTCTTGTTAATCATTTGTGTGATGTTTGCATTTTGTGTTCATTTAGTTTGCATGTTTGTATTAGTTTTGCATATTTTGTTTTTATTCATAGGATTTAGTTTTTGATTTAGTAATATTCTTTTTGTTTGACCGTTAGTTTTAGTTGTTGATTGTGTGGGTTTTTTTTTTTTTTTTTTTTTAGGGTGATATCATATTTAGTTTTATTTTTCTTTATGTGTGCTTTTTGAATTTGCTTTTAGTTTTTTTTTTTTCTTTTTTCTTTTTCTTTGAATTTTGTGTTGTGGTTGTTGGTGGAACCTTTGGTGCACTTGTTGATGAATGTTTGGTAGATGTATCAACCAATTTTAATACCCTTGGATTCGAAAATAGAAAGTACGTAGGATGGATGATAACCTTTATTCCATGCACAACCATTTAGCTTTTAGGATTCCTATCATAGGGCAACCGCCTAGGAATGATGGCATTTATGAGTTTTCTCCTTTGGACGATATGAACTCCAAGTTGGAGTCTTTAGCCTATCAATTTGACACGTTCATATCCATACAAAGGCAAGCTTCTAGGCAACCACCTCCCGGTAGGCCAAGTCAGGATGTCTTTTCTATGCCTTCGGACCTTTTAGCTATTGAGTACACATTTGAGGAACCAGCTCCCTACACTTTTGAGGAGCAAGTGCAAGATGCACAAGGTTTCCAGAGACGGAATGATCTGTATTCGAACACATTTGATAGTTAGAGGCATAACCATCCTAATTTTGCATGGAAGCAAGAACAATCTCAGAATGTCTCCCATAATATGCCATATAGTTCTTCCAATCAACAGGGCAATTATTGGGACATGTATTCGGTCCAACCACACGTCTAACCTAGGATCCGACACCCTATCCAACAGCCCACTCTAGAGCTCGGTTCACT